CCAAACTTTTTAGAAAAAAAACAGGGACTAACTTTAAATGTAAAAATAGATTCATTAACCATTGGTAAGTATGAGAAAATTGTTGTTTGCTGCAGGAAAATTCATTTTTTGGCCAAAACGAAGAGTTATTATCCCTTTAACACAGAATAATGACATAAATGTAATATTGATTTCATGGCTTTCTAAATTTAAAGTTTTGTTCACAGCAGGCTTAACTTTCACCTTTTCTGGTCTAAACATGACATACACATTGCATAATTAGTGATGCGTCAATTCTCCCTATTATTTAGACGAGGCACAATCTCGTCGTTTTGTGATGCAGTTATTTTGGGTGATCTACAAAGCCATGCAATCGGGTTAAAGATTCCTAAAGGCAATCATTGTTTAGGCAATCTGATTATCTTGTTTTCATATTCTGAATAGGTCTATATCGAACCTGGAGTGAATGCTTATCAAATGGTTGTAAACAAAGACACAAAGAATTGGTTTGTACTGAATGCTCTTATAGATGACATTTCTCTAAAATAAATCATTTTACTCACACTGCTGGATTATTCCTAAAAAACACACGTTTTAAACTATGACTGAGGTCCCATACCGAGATCGATCTAACTAAACGAAAATTAATTACCCCCTAGCAACTTTAGTAGGTGTGACAGACATCTAAGTCGCTTAAGTTGTTTGCAATTTAGCGAAAATCCCCTCGGAGATAGATCGATCCACAGTCAGTACGACAGGGTCTGGGAATGGTCCCTAGCAGAGCTATGCATGACGAAGTCAATCTTTTGGCACCTGCTCAGGGTTATGGAACAACCCGCACAATGAATTATACCATTTTGAAGTGGTCGGTGTTCGTATACACTATCATAAAAATCTTTTCATTTGCCTAATGATATTAGGTTTGTTATCATGGCTTTTCAAACTATTAATGGCCTTTGAATGACACTTGGAACCGAGGCAAAGTGCTCTGATGGTCATTATTTATGTATGATGGCCCTGTAATTGTGAGGGTATGGTGGTAATGATGTCAAGACATGGCAGCCTAGCGTGAACATCTTCTATTAGTTGCGAAAAGAATTTTTTAATCGGGGTCTCTTAAGGCGCATTTTTACTGCACTAGTGACGGATCCACTGAGTGCCTTACTAAGAACGCGTTTCTAAACATCCTCGCCACTTGCCATGGAACCAAAGTTAATGTCACAAGGATCGTTAAATACTTCCCGCTTGCCAAGTAACCAAAATTAACCCAACTACAGTGTCAAAAAATAGACTCCCTCTTGTACGCTTAAGGTAATAATGCGATATAAGTTGAGTTGCCATAAGTGGTCCGGAAATGCGCTTGTAACAAGTTTATGGCGATTGACCTAAAACAATGTGGTAGCGCACCCCCAAAATGGCCCCTTTCTGACATAGTTTGGGTGAGTTAAATATAGGAGAGAAGGGTGAGTGGTGGGTAAAATGGTAGTTTATTTTTTAACAGAGTTGTCCTTTGAGAAACAGGCCCAGGCTCTCAAATAGCATAATAAAGCAATTTAGCTCTAGGGTTGCACTATACATAAGAACTTTTACGATATACATGCATACACTTCCAGCTTCATTTTCTGTAGCCTTTTCGGTAGTTGGTCCATAGTGTGAACTATTTGCTGATAACATAAAGGCACATGTGGCTATTATTCAAAGGGAAATCTTACTTGTATTTTCCTTACCCATCCCTGCGACATTTCCTTTCGTTAAAATGTGAAGTTGGTAGAATTTAAAGAAATCTGTATTCTATGTTAATCTACTCAAATGTGTACCCTGAAATCTGTGTAATTGTATGAAAGGGTTAATTGCTGACAATGGTAGTTTATATAAACAAAATAGTGATCTTACTTGTATTTAAATGTGTCTACTCCCGGCGACAAATGTCTCGGTTGTATTGGGCAGCTGTAGATATTCCGGTCATCTTCGAGCAGCATATCTATGTCATGGAATATTACACAGTCGAATGAGAACATCTTTACGGCCTCTGCGTACCCGGCATTCATGATACGACCCTTGTTGAATTCAGCACCATCTGTCTGAAACAATCAAAATAAAAACGAGCTACATCATTAAAATACGCCAAAGTTTCCATTTGACCTGATTTTACAACTTGAGTGTTTTGATTGGTTGTATTATTGTATCAATTTCATACCCAGTCCTATGTGAATGCAATTAAACAATGTTCGATATTTAATTTTTGTCTCGATTCCGAATATGCGCGCGATCATTTTAAATGGCTTAATGGTAAACATTTAATCAAAGCTTCACGAAGATTTTGTTTTTTGCAAATAACAGGATAAAAAACAGCAGGTATTTCTTCCCACAAATTAAGGCACAAAATACAAAATAAATATAACTTATTAATAGGGAAGTTGAATTTTTTAAAAAGAACTTTTGGTGCAAAACAGATAAGTTATGCGATGACCAGATGGCTTGTAAGACTTACTTGTTCGACTACCACGATCCTATAGTCGAGTTTCTGGCGTTGAAGAATAGGATGATAATGTTCTAGCCATCGTAGCAAGTGTTCCCATCGATTTCTGTATGGCAAAATGATAAGCACGCGAGATCTCGAGACACAGTCACGTGGTTTCCAGTGACCGCCTGGCAGAACGTCTGGATTTCTTTTTTCAATTTCTTCAAGTAATGAAGATGAGTTGACTTCTATAGACAGTCTTCCCTCTGTAAATGAAATTTTTATTTGAAATTATTTTGATGCGATCGTTTTAAAATCAGGTTTTCCAAGTAAAATAACCAAACACACAAATGTGAATAGGTGTAGGCCTAACATGTTGCTCAAATCAAGGCAGCGGCCAGTTTCAAAGAGGGGCTATAGCCCCAGCTTTTTTTAATAACTTTTAAAGCCCAAATTAGGTCTATTTTAGTTTAAGATAAATACACTTTAAGTAAGTCAATATCAGATATTAGTCACATCAAAAGCCTTTCTTTGTTATAAAACAGGCACAGCAGCCCACTAGGACTATAGATTAATCCTCTGTCGAAGTTGACAAAACTTTGGTAAAGAGGTTTAGACGACTGTTTGGGCTATAGCTAAATTCTAAAAGAGTCAACTACGCCTCTAATTGTCGAACTGTGCATATACATGTATTCAGCGCTCTGCGTGCGACAATGACTTAAAAAGAGAAGATATCTATAGAGAGATCATTTTAGACGATTTACTTTAAAGTGAAAATCCCCTGGACACTCCGATCTAACATAATGGAAATACCCCCCCCCTTCCATTGCCCTTCACAAATATATAACAATTAAATTTCTGTTAAGACACGAATTTTTACTGAGAGAAACAGCTGCAGTTTTACCAAATAACCTTCGATAACACATGAATGTTTTATCTGTACTTTGCAAAATCACTACCTCAGCACCGTATCTGGTTATTACATAATATCAATCTGTCTATCTACGTTGGCCAACCAATTGTTTGGGTTTCGATCAGGATATTGGAAATGCCGCTTCGCGTAGCTAACCAATGGTCTCATTCAGAACAGGGGACTAACTAGCCCGAGGGTCAAACATGGCCGACCCACTTGGTATATCTATTCAGTGTCTATTAGTGGATTAGACGGCAAGCTTTAAAGTAGGTCGCCATATTTGTCCCTTGCCCTATTAGTCCCACACTCTGAATGGGGCCAATGAGTCACAAGCTTCCGTGATCCTGTTCTGGGATAGGGACGAGTTATCAGGTCTGAGTAAACAACAGACAACTGTCGGTGACTTAACCGCTTATTTATCTAGATTAATTATCTTATTTTGAGTACCGATGTCTTGACTGTAAGCTCAATGTTTGCCAAACGTGTCAAGAGATGAGAACGAATGCCGGAAAATAAATATTCGGTGATAACTTTATCTTGTAATCAGACACAGTGGTCACTTCTTGGAAACCGCACTTTGGGCACTTCTTGGAAACCGCACTTTGGGCACTTCTTGGAATCCCAATACAGGTGATCAAGTTTATATCGTGGGGGTGGCTATTTTTTTCTTTCCGAGAGAGAGAGAGAGAGAGAGAAGGGGGAGGGAGAGAGAGGGGTGGAGTGAGCGATTAGAGTGGTTTTGCACCCCCTCCGCATTTCATAACCATCATTCCCCCATATTTCGGCATCCAACATGAATCCACAGAACTACGTAAAATACTGTGAAGATAAAATATTTTTTCCTCAAAAATCATAAAAAAATCCCTCCAATAAATGTTTATCTGAAATATAAATAATGGCGTTATTACATTTTTTGAGCATGAAAGGTGGCAACCATTCAATTTCACATAGGTAATCATGAAATAAATCAATTGCACTGATTGAAACTCGAACACGCAAGCTTTAATTGATGTCTTTATTTGATTTACCTCTCTGTTCTCGCATGTTGATGCTTAAAAAAGATAACGCCGAGGTTTAAAATTACTTTTTTTCTAATGTTATTTGGATAGGATAAACACATCATTTATCAATGATTCAATTGTTGCGTGAACTAGATGCACCCTGCGTCTCAAATGGCACTGAGACCTCCTCTCTCACCTATCAGCACGGCCCTGCTGTTTACAGTGTCTTATTAAAATCAGGGTGACTATCACAGTCTGCGTGTGTGCATGCGTGCGTGCGTGCGTGCGTGCATGTATACTCGTCTGCTTGAGTGTGTTTTCAAGTTTCTAGGTTAATAACGTGTCATTTTCGAAGATTGCGTTATTCTAAATCGCGCTTTTCACATACAAAACGACGCTTTGAAGTAAAATACGATACTATATCCCACTAAAACACATGTTCAGGAAACAGTACCATTACTGAACGTTGAATTGCGTCGATAAAATGTCTAATGATTCCACATTACCCGGTGTAAATGTAGTTCTGCTTCTAATGAATCGCCCAAGCAAGATATCTCATTTTCACAGTAACCCAGGAAAGGCACAATGTAGTCCCATAGGAGGATAATCTGTGCAGGCAACCAACCAAGAATTGTGATTACAATTGGTAAAATGATCGATGGAAGTTGAACATTTTCTTGATCCGGTGTTTGCGGATAAGGACATAAGAATTCATTAGGCGCTTGAAATGAATGCATTTTACGAGTTTGGAAAATGTGAATTTTGTATAACCTCAAAATGTGGTTCCGCCATTCTCTCTTCCAGGTGCCCTCCACGCTGTTACAAAATTGGACGAAAAAGCTCTGGAAGATAGTAGTTTCATAAAAGAAGTATTCAAGCTACTTCTGGTCCGTTTATTTATTTATTTATTTATTTATTTTGCGCCATTGACCGTTTGTTGATGTCAGCGTAGTAGCAGAATTCAACGCGCATCATACTGTTTCATTTTCTACTTAAATACTGAAACATTCTGTATGTAGTCCGTTTTCTGGGTGTAGCCATTCCTCATGAATGTCAATGAAAGGTATTAAACTTGTAAATAAAGAGCTCAGCTGTGAACTAGTAGATGAGAGAGAGAGAGAGAGATAGTTTCTACTGCCTGTACTGCGATTTGGCAGGTCAAACAATTTCTGTTTCGACATACCTAAATATTAATAACGGCATTTCTTTCTTATCAATTTATGTCCATTGATTGTGTTGTTCTATTTGCCCAAATGCTGTGAAACCTGCATATTTTGATGGTGGTTTTGTATTAAGCAGGGAATACGAAGGCTAGACATTGCAAAAGGTTTTATCCAAAAAAAAAAAATTGAAAATGTGTCTGTTCAAATGCAAATCGCTTTGAATTCAAATCACAAAAGATTGTAGACTACTTTGGCGTTCAAAATGCCGGACCATTTTTTGTAGTCTGATGGAAACAAAGCGATTTTTCGGGTAAACTGTAAACATATTGGGATTTAATAGTTTGTATCTTTGTTCATCCTACGAAAGGGGCGTCACTTCACGTCAACGATTTATCCACATTTAGTAACGACGCTATATATGACACCGGGAAGTAGGCCTATAACTACAATGGGGATGACACCATTCGTGTATGATTAATCCACCGCTTGTCTGGAAATCTTAATCGCTTAAATATTTACAATACGCGTTCAACAAGTTACTCAAATATCTCAGTGCGACATAAAAGTATCGTAAGCTTAATGTGCATCCATATTGATTGTACGCTTAAACAAGGCAGCAAAGCTGTCCAATGTACACACAAAAAAGCAGAAAATAAATAATGCACAAAATACGTTATTATGTCAATTTCGATGCAATATTGCATAATGCTGAACAGCAAAATCAACACCAAATTTTGATAACACAACAGGTAACACGGATATTAAGACTAGAAGAACAGAGCGGCGATACCGCCGACGAATATTGTACCACCAGCGAGATTAAGCTCGTTCAAGTTAAATGGTAGCTATGAATGTATCTGTTTAAGTTGTGGAAAATAGGAGCTAGTAAATGTGTGAAGTGCATTTTATGTTGCAAAGTAAGTAAAAGGTCAAATTCAAGGTCACATTAAGATGCCCAACATATTACTTCCTATTCGAGTTCAATATTAATTATATCTTTTTTTAGATATAAGGGATACCAAATTTGCAAACTTCATTCCCCATTGAAAAGTAAGTCAGATCCAAAGTCACAGTTAGATGTCCAATATATGATTTTCTATTCATGTTCTATAGTTACTATGGGCGTATCTCTGCTAGATTGAAGATGTACGGGTTTGGAATTTGGAAACTGCATTCATGGCGAAAAGTAAGACAAAGGTCAACTTCAAAGTCAAATTAAGTTTGCCCATGTATGAGTTACTATTTAAGTTCAAAAGTAACTTTAACACACACACACACACACACACACACACACACACACACAGCAACTTTCTACTGTCTACGATAAGGCAGTTCAAACAATTTCTGTTTCGACATACCCGAATATCAATTATAGCATTTATTTCTTATCAGTTTATGCCCATTGATTGTGTTGCTCTAAAGTTAATTTGAAAAAATATGTGAAACATGCGTTTTTTTTTGATGATAGTTTTGTACTAAGCATGGTGTACCAAGGCAAGACATTGCAAAGCCTTTTAAAAATGCCTCTGCTTAAATGCAAAATCGCATTGAATTCAAATCACAAAACATTGTGGCTGACTAAAGCATTTAATAAAAACATATATGTTTACGGCGATGGTTATCTGTAATTTCTTTTGTGTGATCATATTTTCATGTTGAAGACTACTTTAAAAAGATTTCGAGTCACAACTATTATTTTAGATTGGCTCATTTTCGATATTTGATTGAGAATGTTATTACCATACTGAACGTAACGATACACCATTGTATGTCATTGGTCTTGTAAACATCAGATATTGCTTGATTTTTATCATATCACAAGAAATATGTCAAATAAGACATGACATTATTACATACGCTGCAGGGCTGGTGTGTAGGTACGTAGAACACCTTGTCATGGCGTCCAGATATGGAGAGGTCAAGCGTGCCAATCGCGGTTATTAGAGAGTTTTGGCAAGGCCTTCCGTATGACGTGTAACGTATAGTACAATACGTAATACGTTTTACGTACGCGAGAAAGCTAGCAGTGGTTTTGGCAGGTCTCACTCCGTATGCGTTTTTTTTAATATTATTTTTATTTATATTATATATAAATATTATAATATTTGGATTCTTTTTAGATAGATGATTAATTAAGATGTTGAATGGAATGTGTTATTTACGTCAATTGATACCGCCGATGCTGTTGT